AAAACCACTGAAGACCACCATGGATGATCAACCTGTCTCACAATACCCGTTGATAACCACGGATGTAAGCTGTTGAACACCGGTTTGGTACCCATGATCAAAGGATGTGTTTCTTTTTCCCTTTGATCAGTGGAAGATTTTCGATTTCCTCCTTTCATTGTTGTTTCCATCCATCAAACCGCAACATGGTCCAGCCCGAGATACCTACATGTAAACTGATCTTTCAAGAAACAACCATCAATCTGGAGTGCTAACATTCAGCTTGGATCTGCCAGGCTTTAAAAAAGTCGAAGGTCAGCAAGGCATTTATTCATGCCTTGCTTGCGCTGGATCCCAAAACATCAAGCTAACATCAATTCGGAGACACTGTCACAATAACAGCCATTACGAGGCGCTTCAACAATGGCAAGCCACTCAAGGATCGACCCCAGCATCCACACCTGCAAATCAAGAAGCAACTGCTTCATCATCAAAGTCAGACTCAGACAATGACCCTGGCAGTCTCATTGGCAGTCCAATGATCACGACTCCAGTGCATTTGGATGAGAACAACGAAGACGTGTGAGACTTCAATCAGCGGCAACGCACACTGATTGACCGCTGGACTCAAGATCAATCAGGTGTTTTCAATAATATAATCAACAATATTGATTGCATTTTAGAATAAGACTCTGAGGATGAAGAAGATCACAGTCCTCGCAGCGAGAATTCTGATCCTGTGATTTCAGAAATTGACCCTCTGCTGGATCAGAATGATGACGAGTCGCCCTGGGCTCCCTTCTCCAGTTTGGAAGTCAGTGGATTGCTGCTCAATCATCTGGTCACTATCATATAACTGACTGAACTGTGATTTGCCAGCAACTTGTGGGGTTATTGATTATAGGATCCACTCGGACAACAATGTCACAACGTCAATACAAACGAGTGCGTTTGTATGTTGGTCTGCTGGGAGTCAAACTTTCTGGCTACAAAAGCATTTGTAACCTTCGCCAGAGGCTGAAGGCAACATACAGTTTCGATATTTCTGAAAGTCTCAGCCCTTCGGGCAAACCCACTTTTTGATTGAAAGTTGAGCAAATCATATCACAAGTAAGCTGCTGAACTTTTCAAGAGTATATTGCCCAATAGCCAATAGCCTTTGCTGGAAACTAACAAAAGGCTGTCCTGTCTGTAGGAGTTAGCAAATCCTTACGTCGCTGAACACTTAGAATTCATACCCGAATTGCCAAGTGTCAATTCCCAAGTCAATCGCCTGGCACAGTCGAAGAGATGGAGGGAGGAGCTCGACAGAGATCTTCGTGTTCAGATGATCAATTTACCACAAGGGCACTTTTATATATTTGAGCCTGTACAGCTAAAATCCAGAATCATCGTCTTTCCGGGATTATTTTATCAAGAGGGAACTGAAATCTTCGGAAATGTGCTACAGCGCAGCAATCTCTTTCACAGGATCAACATGGCCAACAAAACCTTTGCATTTACTTTGAAGCATCTTCAGGAGGTTTTGATTCCGCTGTCCTATTGGTAATCAATGTCAAGGAATTTTGGAGGACATTCAATTACATTGAAATACGCAAAGATGTCCTGATGAAGAGCTTTTGTGGTGATTCAATGTATGGTGAGCAATTTGTTAGTCCAGGATGAACGGGCCCGATTCCTGCACGTTATTTACTTAAACTTTACGCATTTCAGAGGATTTTGGCGCTGGCAATTTCTTGAAAGTCCCTTTACAAAATCCGTGGCGCAAGAAGGCTATAGGTAAGATCATTCGACATGTGCCATTAGTCTTGTATTGCGACAATCCGTCTGGTAACATTTCAAAGCGATGGAACAAGCAGATTGCTTTTTATTTCACATTAGCAGGATTACCGCCAAAGTTGTCAAATCAAGAATATAACTGTCATTTCTTGACTACATCAAACACAGCAGGCGCTCTGGAACATGCTGAGCCTGTGGTTGATGACCTTAAGTAAGCTCTTCCATTTCATTTCTCACGTCAGAAATTTTATTCGTTTGATATCGAATCTCATCTTAACCCTTGGTACTTCTGGATTTACAGCAAAATTGCAACCGACGGCCTTGTGGCATATGATTATCTCGTACAGGCCGAAGTACTCGTGATGACTGCGGTACTCTGTCATTTGGGTGACTCACCAATGCACGCCGAGGTTACAAATACAATCAACCCAACAGTTTCTTTGTCCACTTGTCGTGTGTGTGACTTGAAGGTGGAAACGTTGCTTGAGAAAAGATCAGCAAAATATGTCAGCAACTTTGTTGGTGTTGACAAAAAGGGAAAGAAGGTAAATTATTTATTCTTCAATATATTCACTTCAGCTAATGTATTCCATTCTTTCTCTACCTCCCCGGAGCTGGTCGGAAACAAAGAAAGAAACCCTCAACCTTTGGGAATTAGCACAACGTCCACATAAAATCAGCGCATTTGACACCAAATCAGGATGGTTGGGTATTCACGACACTCTCAATGCAACATTTGTCAAACGTGTGCAAGAATGGTATCACAATGAACAGTTTTCAAATGGAGAGGTGGCTCAAATGTGCAAGGATCTTAACGACCAATTCAGAGACCGCCTTCTCAATCCCTTCCTGCGTTTGAAAGGTGAGTTTGAAGTATTAATTTGTTTCATGTTTTATAACAATCTGACTCTCTTCTTGCCTTGCAATGGGTGAAGGATTTGATGGCCATAAGTGTACCCCAGTTGAAATTCTGCGCGTTTTGTTGTTGGGCGTGGCAAAATACTTATTAGGCCATCAAATGCAGCGTTGCTCTGCTAGCAAAAAAAAACAAAATCTGGGGCCGGTGGCAATCTTTCAAGACGGCTGATTTGAATATTCCTCCAATTCAGCCAAAATCAATGATTAACCATTTCCTCAGTTTGAATGGCAAGGAGTTCCGCACGGTACTTCAATCAATGTTATCTCACCCCGCGCCTTTCATATTTCAGACATCAAATCCCGACATGAAGTCATACATCAAGCAACTTGGAATCCTTATCCTCAGGTTTCTTCTTTCAATTGTACAACTCACAGCTCATTGGTGTAACAAACCAAAGTTTCACATGCTGATTCACATCTGTGAATCCATCGAACACTATGGGCCTGCATGCTTATGTGCAACTGAGAACTTCGAAGGATACAACGGCAATACACGCGAATCCTCTATTCACTCAAACCATCTGAGTCCTAGCAAAGATATTGCTAATTCATTCAACAATCACCGCTTGATCAGATCAGTTACAGCTGCATGTATGAATTATGACAGGAACCACAAGTGTTACGTCCGAGCTGGAAGCGAGGTAATTGAATTATTCAAAACTAATACCTTATTTCAGAAGGCACTTGGATACAACTCTAAGTGGAATGAGCCTGAAAATTTTAAAGGAGGTTGTGAGTTGCATGCAGAACATATGATTTTTGGGGCAATAACATGAACTGATTGTGATTGTGATGTTTTTTAATGCTTTTTAATGTTTGATATGGTGTGGAATGCTTGATTATAGGTCCTCAAAAGATACAACCTTCACAACCTGAATCGCACATCCCTCAAGTCTGTTTGGATGCTTACCCATTGAAGACATGGAAGATTCTAGTCTCCTTTACTTTGAAGAATCGGCATTCTTTTGCCGAAGGAGACTTCCTCTCGGTATATCATTATGGCCTTGCTCTTCTCTGCGAAAGACGTTCATTGATTTGACTTTTACAGGTCCAATCGAGGCATTTGGTTTCCAGATACGCGTCAGATAAGATGATTGGAAGGGCCAAGAGGATATGGATTCCCGCCGGGTCCACGGCAGAGCAGTGCGGGATTGAGGTATCAAGGTGCAATACCGGCACTGTCAGTAAATTCTATTACATGCGCGAGATTCAAGAAACAGCAGGAAGTGTCTGGATAAATCCTTTGGTAAGTGCAATCGAGAGTATGTGGTGGTTCATGAAGATACAAGTTTTTTTATACTCAATTTGGCCGCCATCTATTTGTCGGAATTACATCGCTTTTGGGCACAGATTAGTTTTGTTGCAGTTAAACCTGCGGAATAGGAATTGGCTGTGTCGACTGGAATTGCCAATAGGGAAGAATCATTAAAAACAAAACAAGAGCAAAAGGACACACAACACCAAAGGCAGAAAGGAAAAGAAGCAGCTAAAGAGGATGGTAACAATGCTAAAAGCAACAAGAAAAGGAAATCAAATTGAATTGAATGTATCCTCCTCTTCATTTCATTCTTCTTCATATTGTTATGACTTAAATTTGGATTCTATTCTGAATCTTTGCTCTGTTGTACCTTCTTTTTTATTTTCTGTTTTGATTATCGAATCGCAGAGAATTCAATCTTACATTGATTTCTATCAATCACATTATTGTATTTATATTGTTGCATTTGGATTGATTGAATCACAGAGAAATCAATCTTACATTTCGATTTCCAGAGTTCGAATCTCTGATCCTACCCTAAGAAATTCCTATAAATATGATAAGAAGAACTTAACAACATCAAGGATTGACTGAGGTCGAGATTGATTCTTTATTCCGAATGTCACCGGGGGTGAATGATCACATTGGGGTTTCCCGGGTCTTTGTCAAACTTCTCAAATTAAACAACTTCATCATTTCCACCATCCGCCATATCACCACGATTACAATGTCTCAGGCTTCTCAACACCGGTTTTTCCCAGCTCCCAAGAAGAAGAAGAAGACCCCAAATACTCAGCAAACACCAGCCAAAAAAGCTTTGACTCAAATCACAAACCTGAGTCGAAGTCAGCCATTGGGATTGCAATCCCAAAGCCAAGGCACCCCAAATTGTTCTCTGTGCAATCAAACTAAGTGCCGGATAAGCGAGCGTCATAAGTCTGGACCTGAGGAACCTCTGTTGAAGCAGACTAAAACCACGACTAAAATAACCAAACCGCAACCGAAGAAAGCTTCTGCACCCAAGAAGCCAATCGCTAAAGGTCAAGGTAACGAGAAGCAAGCAAGACAACTCTCTTCCCCTCCTATTCCTCCCCCTCTCACACCTCCTTTGCCTTGCCGAGGGCCCAATGCATCCCGACCTTGTGATCTGCACAATTTATTTAGCCTTCCCGGCCCTATTGAGCTGAGTCATTATCTTTCTTCTCGTTTCCTTTTCTATTCATTGTTCCTTACCTGATTGGATTTTATGTGCCATAAATCATGAATACGGATCAAGTCAATATTCCAATTACAAAAACAACAACAACCGCAACAACGTGGACGACGAGAATCAAGCCCCGCGTTGCGCCCCCAATCCCGCTGTCTTTGTACCCTTACAAGGATCAAAGTTGATGAGTTTCAATCAACATTGCAACCGTTCCAATCTTGACGATCATCACATTGCTATGGGCCAATGAATATGCACTGTAAGTTTATTTTTAAATTCACATTTAAATTACTAACAATTTTTTTCCCTTTGTCTAGGCTGAAACCCCCCATGAACAGTTTTTGGCCAGTGTGACACTGGCTCTATCAAACCGTCAACAGATGACTACGCTCCACAACGACATCACCCGTCAGATTACCAAAATCCAAGAAGCTGTAACCGCACATGGAGGAGGTAATGGCTCTTCAGCAGCAGCGACCCCGTGGCTTGGCAAAGAAGACGCATGCTCCAAGTAAGTCTTTTTGTATGCATCAGAGCTCCGAGTAAGTCTTTTATGAGAAGTTGGAGTACTTGCAAGATCAAACCAGTAGATACCGGCATGCGTGAGTGTCTCTTTTTCTGAATGAAGCTGATTCCTATTGACTTTATTGTGTTGTAACAGGTTCGCAATCTTGTGTTTGGCTGAAGACCAAGATGTATTTGGAAACAAACATACGCTGGAAGACCTCAGACCCCTCACTTGTTTCCCAATACCTAACGAAATCGCAATTGCGGACGTCATGCAACACCTCAAGGAAACCTTTGACAACAAGGTACCCGAAGAGCAGAGACTTCATCAAACTACGATAACAGCCACAAGCAACAAGGTACCTGAACAAACGTCGATCACAGCCACAAAGAAGCAAGGAGCTCGGGTTGAAGATGAAAATGAGGATGTGGATGTGGAAGATGAAGATGAAGATGAAGAAGTGGAAGATGAAGAAGAAGAAGAAGAAGTGGAAGATGAAGAAGAAGAAGAAGAAGTGGAAGATGAAGAAGAAGAAGAAGAAGTGGAAGATGAAGAAGGGTCTGATGACAAAGAATGAGCTAATACATATTGTTATGTATGGTATAGTATACTTTTTTTCCAAATTCTATCACATATCATTTTCTCTTTCTCAGCTATTTGTTTATATTACTCTTTTTTCTTTTCTCTTCCTCAATTCTTTGTTTATATTACTCTTTTTTCCTTTGCATGTATTAGTTTCCTCTGTATTTAAGCCTTGCAAGTAAATTACTATCATTTTTACAACAATTTGCCCACAATTCTTGTACCTGAGCAAGCCATCCCAAGTGCAATTGGTGACAAGCGGTCACAAGAAAAAACACCTATCACCGTTCTTAAACCGTGATAAAGGAGTTTTTAAAGCCGCTGCAAGTGGGTCTTAAAAACCGGTTTATAAGCCAATCGGCGGAGTATGGTTGAAAATCAGTTTTTTGCCCACCAAGGCTTTGCGGTTGGTCAACCAAAAAGAAACACCGGTTGACAAACTGTTTTGAGGGCTTCGTGGTGTAGGCTGTTGGGGTTCTCGTGTGTACGTGAGGTTGAGCAGAAGAGGTCCGTAGCCATAATTATGCATGCAAATCATCATCACAAGCACTGCAGATCAATTGATGAGTAGCTCAATCTGAACAAAAATTAAAAGGTTTTCCAACTTTGTGCATGAAACATTTTCTGGCTTCAGTCTGCCGTGGAAAAAAATTTAGAACAGGATGAGGAACTCTAGTTCAAATTGCTTTACACAAAGGCTATGTAGAGAAGACAACACCATGATGGCTTTCGTCTTTTCTACAGCGGTATCTTTCGATTGCAGCACAAAAAAATCATTGTACAAAGTTGTAGCCCACAATCAAATTTTCTGACTGGCCCAAAGTGGCCAAAAGTTGGGATTGTGTATACCATGATGTTGTCTGGACAACACTCCCTCATGGGTGTAGTAAACCTGTACTATGAGATGGAACAATTGATCCTTTGATCTACATCGACAATGGATCTCCTTTCTTTTTGAAGTTGTACATGTTATTTATAAATTCTTTGAAAAACATTTTCATTACTCATGCGCAAATAATTCATAGGTCATTTCCATTCAATCACAAATCTTTGAGAGGATCACTACTATCTGCTTTGTGAACTGCCATAATTTCAATCATTGAACTATGAATCTGCTTGTCAAGGGTTTCTCTTCTTCATGCACCATGGTTCATCTTATCTTCAATTCTTTCTGCTGGCGGCTGGTCCGTGTATTCATCATTGTTATTATCATCAAAACTCCTTGGCCAATCTTAACTCACAGACTGTCAATTTTCAAAATGTAATTTGATGCCTGCAACATCTGTAACAAGACCTAGGCCGTGCAGCCAACATCGGGTCATTGCAGAGCCTGCGGGAAGCGCCAAAAACTATCTGATCAGGAATTATTGAAAAAAAAGGAAGAGGAAGAAGGAATCTCAAATCCATGCTGTTTTGTGGTGCTGAACAAGTTGTGTATGGTTGTCTATCCTCCCTGTAGCCAATCCACACCAATTGCCAGGGACCAGAGAACCTCTTGATCATCAGGATGCCAATGTTCCCGTGACTCAAAAGGCATCTTGCAAAAGGTTGCTCAATCTACTCTCCCTCTGTATCAACTTTCAGGAGGCCTTGTTTTACGCTGGAAACACCAAAAATCAGTTGGTCTAAAAGGACCACCCAAAGCTTAGCCTCAACTGCTGAAAAACCAAAAGATGACACTGTTACTCCGTGCACAATTTCAGGTGGGAACAAAGATACCACTGATTCCTCATTCTTTCACGAGTTGCAGCTGGTTGTCATGCTACCACATGTGGGGATGGATACACGAGGCGTGAACAAGGAGGCACTTATAAAATCGTGCAAGACACACAATGATTTCACTATGTGATTAGTATCACTTTTCCACTCACAATTGACAACCAAGATATGCTTCGAGTAGTGAGAATTCCCAAATTCTCAGTTTCGGTACCTCAAACTGTTGCTTCAACATTGAAACAACATCAGTTCCCTTTTTCACCATCTGAAGTACTTGTGATGTAATTCTTGTGTTGACTGTATTCCAGAATGTTACAGCAGTCTGTCCTTCATCCATCAGCCTTCCTAGTGTTGAACACCAGCATTTTTATTTCCCTGGTCCGGCACCGACTTCCCCATTATTCACAAGACCAAAAGAGCAAAAAGGAAAAGAAAAGGCAGCAGATCACACAAATGAAGATTGGGTTCCACAAAGTGTTTGAGACCTTTTGGCCACCTCAGAGGGAGTTTTGGAAGTGGATGATGTAAGTGAAACTGTTTTACTTTGACATAGCCTGACTTGTAGAATTAATAATGACACAAAAAACCCCTGCAAAATAGCCCAATCCAAAGACTAACAAACACAAGGAACATACCAAGAAATCAGGTCCTCAGAGTGATCCAAGTCAGAATACAACTCAACAAAGTCCATGCCCAAATTGTGCAACTTGTGATCAAACTGAAACACTCGCATCATTGACAAGGCTGCTATTGGAGACCCAAGAAAGAGTAGAAATACTCGAAAGCAATTTTAGAACAATCTCGAGTTCAGTGAAGGAGTTGGTTACAGAATGTGACTCACACAAAAAAGAAGATCATACTGTTGGCGGGCGAATTGCAGTGAGATATTTGTGGCACAGCTTTCATTTGGAGCTTCCACCTGATGTTATTTACCTTCCGATATCCACAGGCTCCTCCTTGGTTCCATGTGGAGACTCTTGTAGGGATGGGCAACAATAAAGCGCTTCCAAAACCTGCCAGCTTGCAAGACCATAGTACGAGGATGGCTGATAGATTATTAGACAAGGTTGAATTCAATATGGATCTTAAACCGCACCCTTCCTACACTCAAGGGGAAGATCCTGGCTTGCTTTGCAAGGGCGGTCCTGGTCACCCAACTGCCACCCCTCACCAACCCTTAATCATGTTGCAGATGATGAAAGCTGTAGGTCTGACATGCTTTTGGCCAGATTTCTCTGAAGACGCAACATCAAGTTCTAATAAGTGGCTATGGGAGTTGGCGCTAAAGGTTTGTGTAAAGCTTGTTGAATTTGGAGAGTACACGGGTGATCATCCACTAGGGAAAGAAGGAATTAAAGTGATAAGAAAAAATCTCAAAACACATGTACAAACACTCATGCAGAGGTAAGTGCAAGGTTTCTTTCAATTCTGTTTTCCGAAAAATTTGACCATCATCTGTGGAAACGGCCTAGTAAATTCCCCAGCAAGATAATTGGTTAGGCAAAGCTGCTCAGGTTTCCTTATTAGAATTAGACACTATGAAATATATATATGAACAACATACAACGATAAAACTTGTGCATTTGTCTTTTTCTTGCATTTTCAGTCAGTTTCAGAACCTTGGGGTCAGTAGTCTGCCTCCTGTCTGCTTCTTGTCCCAAAAATTGAGATATTGCAGGCCGACTTTGCAACTCCGAGCTTACAACCAGGCAATTCAGATCAGATATCGACATATCTTCATCATTGGTATTAGGTGGGAATTGAGCTGCCGTCGGAGGATCTTGAACACTCGAAGCCGCTGCTGCTTGAATGCAACTGTGTCGGTTGGCACACTCGTGAGCCTCCCTCGTGGCAGGAAGAACTTACACACCTTGCTTAGAAACACTGTGGGCATTGATATGAAAGCCCTTGTGGCAGCCAGCAGTTTGGCACCGACAGACAACACTCCTATGATCAGCGTTGAATTTTGTAGATGACAGTGTTCTTGACCCAGATAGTATTTGTCAGCCCTGAGCCCTAATTACAGGACCATGGGCTAACAGTACCATATGTAATACCAAAATATTGTATAAAGCCATAAGCTACATCTCAAGGCTCAGTGTCAAGAGCCACTTAAACACATGTATGTAATGTATTAAATACATAGTGAACCTAACCCAAGTGTCAACCACAAGTTGACACGTGAATAGACAAGACTCACACGCCAACCACAAGTTGACGCTGGAACTGAGACTATATAACCCCCCCCTTCTTCCCTAGAATCACCCCCCATCTTTTACTACAATCACAACACAGAACCACATTTTACTTGACTCCTACTGAGAGGATCTTCAAGTACGTGGTTAGTTGTGTAGCTTGTTAAAGACCATTCTTGAGCATTACAGGCTCCATTGCCAAACACCCAAGGTACTGATTTCTACAAGCCCAGGGCATTCATTGTCTCTAGAAATAAACCTTAAAGTAGCAAAGCTTCCTCCTTTTTAAGGAGTCCAAAGTAGCCTTCAGGATCTTTGGTTTACCAAAGTGTAAAGTCTGCCCCTCGCAGTCTCACGAGGTTAGAGCACATTAGCTCTTTATTGCCCTTATCTTTCCTTTCCCTTTCTCAAATCCTCTTCTTAGAGGTCAACCAGCTGTAGTCTTCACTTGGGTGTACCACGTGAAGACCACACCTTCCTTTGCCTACTCTATTTTTTGTGAAGAGTACGCCTGACAGACGCCTACTCCTCACAGTATTCAGATAGAGGAGTTTTGAAGAGGTATGATTGAAGTTAAGATATTTTAAAACAAAAGACTGCCAAAAATCACAGTTGGGAGAAAGTCAAGTGGCACTCAAGTGCTGGTGTAGCAGTAATCAAAACAGACAATACATGACTTAAGCACTATAATTACATCATATATTCAAAGTTGGAAAAGATCAAAAACAAGATCTTGATGTCCCTAGTCAGAAACCTTGTTATCAATCTAATGGAATTTTTATAGAAATTGGAAAAACCAATATGTAACATCAAAATAAATATAAAATGGTTTGATAAGTCTTGCATTTAGCTCATCAGTGTGATTGATAGATCCAGCCAGAAAAAAGGTGCATGTATACAGATGTATACTAGTCCAGCTCACAAATAAAGTAAACTACACAAATTTACATGGAAAATGAGTAGATAGATAAAACATAACTGCAAGATCTGTATCTGCAAATAAAGCACGTTTGATAGCACACAGCTTCACCTTTGAGCTACAATGGAGAAACCCTTACACATCTGTACAAACATCACTTAGATC